AAATTATGTTGATTATTGCATAATTTGTTTTAGGCTTTAAATCCATGCCGATGTGATAATATATATGATATTATTAATTGAGGTGTAACCACAATATTCTTAATTTAATTAAAGTTGTATACTAATTTTTTTTTTTTTTTCAAATCGCATAAAATTTAGGCATAATTTGTGATTAATCATACGTAATATAATGGAATTAGCCAACATGCAATTTTGTTATATTTGTATGATTAATTAGAGTAAAATACTAAGGTATGATAATAATTTAACTCATCGACAATTGAGGTCTTGACACTGCTTTCCGGTTACTAAAATATGTACACCATGTCACCATCAAACTCATGTTTGAATAGCTTCAAAATTTAAGTTGAGTTAAATTCGAGCTTAGAAATAAAATTCCATCAAACTCAAACAAAGTTTTAAATTTTATATCAAATTTGTTTTGCAAACTTTAATCTTGACTCGATTATGTGTTTAATTTAGGCAATGTTGGACCGCCACTCATGATTTGAGCCACTCTGTGTGTTTATTAAGTACCCTATTCTACATGTTTAAAAAAACACTACCCTTGCGTAGATACATTGTTCGAAAACCGTAGGTTCATTGACAAGAACCGTAGGTTCATTGAAAAGAACCGTTTGGTGTGGGCAGAAAAAGAGCATTCTTAATTTAATGTAGCACTACTGCCATACAGAATAATTGTTCCTGTCTTTTGTGCTTAAACAATTATGTCTTCTCATAATGCTATAGCATACTGAGAATTCATTCGTTTCATCCTGTTTTTTTTTTTTTTTAATAAAAGTAAAAAGAAAGTAGGTGAAAAAGGGAGGGGATTATAAAAATTTGAGCAAAGTAATTTATAACATCGGTAAAGAGAAGCGGGCTTAGGAAGAGATTATAAGGTCTAGACTTAGTTCATTTGGATCAAATAAAGTTCATGTTCAAACTATTTTTCGAACAAAAAAAAAAAAAAAAAGTATTAAGCTCGAGTTTGACTCAATTACTTAACGAGTCCGCTCGACTTGTTGGCATTTCTATCTTGACTGAATAAATAGTCATATGTTTGAATTTTATACCAATAATTTCGTATGCAGGGTTTTTAAAAAAAAAAATTTTTAATTTTTTTTTTGTAGTATTAAAAATTAGCCATTATAATTTGTAAAGGAATTGAAGATTTAGCATTTAAAAAAGAAATGGCAGAAAAAGCATAATGATGAGGATTGGCACTCTATCGGCTTGTATAAATATAATTTAGTAAATAAATTAATAATTATAATTTATAAATAATTAAAATGCATAATGGAATAGAATATTATCCATTATTATAATTAAGTAGATTTTATGCCAAAAGTTTTGGATAATAAAATGAAAATTAAAGGTGAAGAAAACGAGTTGCTCCCCATACATGAAACTCGCCAGCTGAAAGGTGATCAATTAGGAATCTTTCCAAATTATTTTTTAAAAAAATAATTGTTGGGTTTACTTTTGAACAATTCAATTGGAGCAGACTTTGTGAATGTATCTTTTATTTTTTTAATTGTATAAAATAAAGAATAAAAAACTTGTCAACGACAAGGACTCACGTCTAGTAAACATTTCCAGCAATGATATCAATAAGGATTTGCTCATTGAATAAAATTCAAAATATTGTATATAAAAAGAGTTTAAATTTGGCTTTCATTTCTAGTAAATAATATGTTAGTATCAACAGGTATGAAGCATCTATCTCTCATCACTTAAAATTCATATGTTTTCAACAATTAAAAAAGTGAATGAAATTTTTTAATTTCTTGACAATGGAGGGTGGTGGTCTGAAAAATGCATTGCCTTAATACAAAATTTAACTTTCATCCATTGTTGTGGTCGAAAATTTTAATCACTTTATTAAATTTTGTCCAAATTTTCTAATAACTTACTATATATTAGAAAGCACTCCGAACAGTAATGTATCGGTAGACTTTTTTTGGATCCCTCAAACGATTGAAAATCCAGTTTGTCACTTTTATATCTTAGGTTGATCCAGAATTTGAAATTGAAATGAACTATGATATAATTTTTTTTTTTTTTTAAAGAAGAAGTAATAATGCTATTTCACCCCCTTGATTTTATCTTCTAATATTCGATCACTTTCTTATTTATTAACTATCAGAAATTAGTCAATTTCGCTCCACCTTTAACACAAATGGAATCCTCCTACACTCAAATTCGAGTTCCTCCATAGCTTGTTATTAAGTATTACTTAGCCATTATTGAAACTAGACAGACTCAACTTACCTCATCATGAACTTTAATGACGGTTTCATGAGATTCAGGAATTAATTCAAAAAAAAAAAAAACTTATAAATACCGAGTTATTTATATATATAAAAAAAAAAAGGTATTACCAAGTCCCTCATCAGTCATCATTCATCAAGAATAAAAAAATTGAGAATGGGGGCTCTCAATCATTTGTGCAATCATGAGCACCAACTTTAATTTAGAACATTTCTACATAGAAAAAACTAATGATAATAAACCAAAACAAACAATAATTTATATTATGTGGTTATTGCAAAGGTTGATTCTTTCCCAGTAATGAGAAGAAAAAAAGTGGGTTCAATCTGTCATGAGCTGGCAGAATCTTTGTTTGTGTTTATAAGCAAATCCCATGGGTTCATCTCCCAAGTTTTCCATACAAAATTTTGTGAGGAATATAGTGTGTTTTGGAAGCTTAAAAAAAAAAAAAAAAAAAAAAAAATCATCATGGGAAGACAACCTTGTTGTGACAAAGTAGGATTGAAAAGAGGTCCATGGACCATTGAAGAAGATCATAAGCTCATGACCTTCATCCTCAACAATGGAATTCAATGCTGGCGCCTTGTTCCCAAACTTGCTGGTAATTCATTTTCTAAATATATGTCCTTTTTTTTTTTTCCTTTTATATCGAGGTTTTGAATTCGAGTGATATTTTTCAATGTTAAATGGTTTCTTAACACAAGTTTGGCCATATTTAAATTTAAGACGGAATTTGACTTTATTGATATGGAGTGAAAAAGAGAAAAGGATCAGATTGATCATGTCGACGTGGAATGGAAAATATATCAAATATGTATATGCTCAACACATTCAAAGTGATTTTCATATCAAGCAAAAATATATTTTTAATTCATCAATTGTTAGCGATTAGTTGATTTAATTTGACTGTGCCATTCCCTACTAGACAAACACAAATATGATCCCGAATTGTTATATATATATCCCCGGGTATTGACCTCCTCGATTTGATAACATAGACTAGTTTTCCTTGTGGTCCTTTAATTTGTTAGTTAAGATCACAAGGTGGGTTTCATCTAGACTCTAGAGTGCACATTTAGTAAACGACAATAGGCTTCTCATAAATCAAAGAATAATATTTTCATTTAGGTGATAAGTTGATATCAAAAGTTCAAATCCTCTTAGTGTCAAAAATTAAGAGACAGGAAATGTTTTTCACTCTTCAAGAAATAACTAAAATGTAAATGTCTTTCTTCTTAAAAAAAATATTCTTTTTTGAAGGTTTGATGAGATGTGGAAAGAGTTGCAGATTAAGGTGGATTAATTATCTTAGACCAGACCTAAAGAGAGGGGCATTAACAGAAGCTGAAGAAGAAATGATCATCAAGCTCCACTCTCAGCTAGGCAATAGGTATATTTCTTCTTCCATATAATATTCTATTTTTAGTAACCTTTATTTTTACTGTCAACGTCATTAAATATTATAGTTGTAAAAATCGACCTAGGCAGCAATCTAAGCATCGACTAGGCGTTAGGCGATCCTAGGTCGAGGCGACTTTTAGTCGATCGAGACGACTCAATCCTAGGTGACTTTTAGTCGGCCGATTAGGCGACTTAGGTATCGAGTTGGGCGCCTAACTCGGTTGAGTTGAGCGCATAACTTGATCAAGTCGGGCGCCTAGCTCGACTGAGGTGGTGCCAACTCAGCCGAGTTGGCACTTAACTTGGCCAAGTGGTTTTTTTGCTTGCTCAACTACTCCTCTTCTATATTTCTCCAACCATGTACTCAACTAACCATCGAACATATCATTTGACTAGTTTGAAGATTATAACAATCTAACAACTCCAGCCTTGAGTGGGAAAAATAGAGACAATATACTCGAATTATTAAGTATCGCTTAGGCGCTAGGCATTCCCGAGCACTGGACTAGCGCCTTCTGCAACATTATAAATATGTATTTAAATTAAATGTGATGTTTGATAACAGGTGGTCGAAAATAGCAGCACATTTTCCTGGTCGTACTGATAACGAAATAAAAAATCACTGGAACACTCGCATTAAGAAAAAACTAAAACTCCGGGGATTAGATCCTACGACCCACAAGCCTCTCGATCAACCCGGGAGTTCCATTGCAAAAATCAACGGTGTGGATGATCATAATCAGCAGCAGAGTTCCTCATCAGGAGAAGAAGAGATGATGATGATAATGAAGAAGGATTACCCAATCCCTAATTATGAATATGCACTTCAGCAGACCCTCAATTCTAGCTTAGATGAAAGTTTAGAATTGGAATCAAATATTATCCCGGCAGGCTCAGAAGACATGGATACCTTATCCATGGATATGTATAACCCTGATGATCAAAGGCAAGAACCTTATCAAACCTGGATAGGGAGTCCTCTGCAATGGGACCTTTTCAACAATTTAGATGGGAACTTTTTATGAGTGAAAATTATCAAACAAATTTGTTGAGAAAATTATCCTCATTATGCCTGCGCGCTTTACTGTAATTAGTGTAAATTAAATTATCATAATTTCAAATTTTCTTTATAATTTATTTTCTGTCTTTAATATTTTCACTCCACAATTCCACATGTTCTAAATAAATTTTCTGCCATCTTATAAATTAATTCAAAAAAAAAAAAAAAACCTGATACGACACCGTTTCATATGCTCAAACATGAGACATGCTCTTATCCACAAGAACTAGCTAGCAGAGAGGTTCTGGAGAAGTCCAGAACCAAACCGATTCAATCTCCCAATGGTTGATACATTCTTCCAGAAATGTCCTTTACTTCCTATAAATTTCCATGGCGTCGAGTTTCTCCCCGACAAGAAAAAAAACATCCATAATCTTGTACGAGGAAGAGAGAAATTTAACAAACAAGATCGAAAATGTCTCACTGCATATCAAAATTCTCAGTCTCCCACCCTTTGGCATCCCAGAGAGCTTCTTCCAATTATCCATCTTCTTGCAATGTTTCCAGAGTGATTATGGTTCCAGTTTCTGGTAAAAATGGCAGAACAAGAACCTGCAGAGCCATGGCTACTGCAGATAGCAGAGACAGCCTTGATCACATGCAAAGGCAAACCAAGACCCAACCTAAAAGGAGGCCTGCCCAAGTTACAGCACCCATAGGTATGTAACAATCCCACCCTTAAAAGAAAGTTAGTTCACCCAATTACCCGTAATCAATTATCAGTTAACAGTTAATTTATCAATCATTTTGACCCTATTTAGTAAAAAATTGGCCTATACTCTAATTTTGACTTATTTGATCACTATTAATTATTTGATTTAGTTAAAATATCAATATAAATGTTTGGTTAATTAGCTTTTTGAAACTCCAAAAGGCTAAAATTCAAAAAGCTACTCCAAACAACTTTTTCAATTAGCTTTTTGAGGAAAGAAATTATACCAAACCGCTATCAACTAACAGCTAATTTACCACACACTTTTCTACAATCAACTAATGTTATCAACTATTTATACTTTCTAATTAACACAATCAGCTAACATCTAACAGATATCAGCTAACATTCATTTTACCAAACAGGCCTTTATCAATAATTCAATGTTTGTTTTGTTGGTGTGCAGGTTTATGGGATAGGTTTCCAACAGCGAGGACAGTGCAACAGATGATGGACACAATGGACAGGTTGATAGAGGACCCATTGGCATTCAACAATGGAGGGTGGTCGTCTTCATCTTCCCCTGCTATGCCGCCGGAGAATGGAGGGTACAGAAGGGGGAGGACGCCATGGGAGATCAAGGAAGGTGAGGGAGAATACAAGATGAGGTTCGACATGCCGGGCATGAGCAGAGAGGATGTCAAAGTCTGGGTGGAGGAGAAAATGCTGGTTTTGAAAGCAGAGAAAGCTCCCAAAGAAGAAGAGGAATGGTCTGCTAAGAGCTATGGGAGATATAGCAGCAGAATTGCTCTCCCTGAGAATGTTGAGTACGAGAAGATCCGCGCAGAGGTTAAGGATGGGGTGCTGTATATCACCATTCCTAAGGCTAGTGTGAGTGGCAAGGTTTTTGATATCAATGTGGAATGAAACAATAATAATGGTGGAAAGAATTGATCGAACCATATATTAATATGATGATGTCTGGTTTTTTGTTTCTGGGATAGATGGTTTTAATTTGGATATGTTTCCTGGGATCAATTATATATACATAGAGTCGTAGGTTCGTTGAGACCATCAATACCATGTTGTGTGTCTCATGAATTCTGATCAAACAATTTTCCAATGAAGGTACACTCATTTGCAAATATTGCAATACAACTTCCTAAAGTGTTATCAAATTATTGTATTATTTAATATAATTTTATCTAATTAAATTTGTAATAGTCTTTTGCGTATACCATTTTGTATTTCTATAATAGATCATATTAGTTCCGATTGTACATATATTAGTTCCGATTGTACATGCCTGTACGAGAGGAAGTAAGAATGTACAACCACTTGTACAACTTTCTTTGTCATGTTTACACTTCGTACGAGCATACCAGCGGGCATGCAACATTCTGTCACTCACAGCATGAATCTTTGTACGAGCGTACAACACTCATACAGACAATAGACTTGGACTCCTCTTCCTTTTGAGCTCCAAAATGCCCAAAATGCACTTGATATAGCTCAATATAAATTCCTTAAAAACGCACAATTTCACCTATACTTCAAATTAAGCTTATTCAATGCATAAAATTGGCTCAAAGGGCACAATTATAGCGCAAAAATGCATCCACAACACCCCACAAAATACAACATCTTTGGCACTTATCAAGTATTAAGGCACAACCGACTAGTCACCCTCAGTAACTAGTCGAAGCTTCGACTTAGGGCTTGGTATAAGCAATCCCAGGAGGCTATTGGGCTTTACAGGCGGGTTGAGGCTCACGACCCAGTGCCCAACGCGAGAAGGAGTGAAATATTTTGGGCTAATTCGAGACGTAATAGGACTAGGTTACCTATTGCTAATGTAACAAGGTCCCGTAACACAGGGTATCTTAGGATTTAATTTTCTTTTTGGACTTTGAGTCCCTCTTTGTATAAATACCTCTTCTCAAGGGGTAAAACAGAACCAATTTCTCATAATAAACATCTATTTACTCTATATTATTCTCCTATTCTCTTTATACATTTGTTATTTTAATGATGATATTGGCCGGCGGTCGACTACCTATTACTATGTTAGTCATAAAACTAACAATATCGTTCAAGTTTTGGTAATTAATAAATTATAACATTTGTCAGTCATTTGAACTATAATTTCAAGATAATTAAGGAATCTTAGTCGCAATAAATTTTAATCTAAGTATATAGATTTCCATTCCTCCCTAAATAGCTAATAATCGTGGCAGAAAATTGCTAATCCTGGCAGAAAATATAGCCGTTGGAATGGGGTGATGTATCTAAAACAGATTACCGGGCGTTAAGCCGTTAAACCTCTATTTATTTAGCACAAATTTAAAAATTATAAGTATCAATTTTAAAAAGAGGAAACTAGCCGTTGGAGTTGCCATCTTGCCCTACGACCCGCTCAGCTCCACCGGGCTCAGGTCGCTGTCGGAAAGAAACACGACGCAATCATAACTCCATCCTTCAAAGACGACCCACGATTCCTCAAGCACACAAGAGCTGCTAGTTGCTTTCTTTCTCCGCGAAATTTGCAGAGAAACAGATAAAAGCTGAATTCTTGAGGGGTTTCAAGAACAGCTGAGTCTCTGAATCAAGGAGAGGGGAAGAGGGATCGCTTGGGTTTTTTTGTTTTTTTGGTTTTTGGGGCTTTGTTGTTGTGTAATGGCGGAAACATCTTCGCCTTGTTTGGTGCGGTCATTCTCCCAGCCTTCATCCAAGTCTTACGACGGGCATGAGGTCAGTTCAAGAAACAGTTTTTCTCTACTGGTCTTTGTCTGTCTTGAAATTTTGTGTGTAATTGGGGTTTTCATCAATCATCAATGCCTGGTTTTTTCAATTTGGTTCATGAATTTGGGGTGTGGGTTTTGTTAGCAGTGTGAATTTATTGATTTTTCTTTTACAGCCTGTACTAGGTTTACTTTCAAATTAAAGAAAAAAAAAGGTATTTTAGTTTTGATATCAATCCCTTTGTTGGTAATTACTGGGAAATGTTAATGTCAGAACTTTCTTTTGCTATGCTATGGTGATTTTGTTACCACTTTATAAGGAATTTGAACTGGGTGATGATCAGTTTTGGTTGAATCACAATTTGAGAACCTGCAAATACATTTTTGTATCAATTGCTTTGCTGTTGAATAGCCAGTTTGGTGAATATGATTTTAGGGAGGTTTGGATTTGTTGCTGATCCAATCACTGCTGTCATTGTAGGATGATCTTCTTCGGGCACTAACATCATCGATTTCGTTCGGGAGATACATGTCAGAATCATTGGCTTGGGAGAAGTGGTCTGCATTCAGTCATAACAAGTACAGAGAAGAAGCTGAGAGGTACTCCAGGCCTGGTTCTGTTGCAGAGAAGAAAGCGTTCTTTGAAGCGCGCTACAAGAAGATTGCTGCCAAAAAGGCTGCAGCTTCGGTTGAGCAGCCGAGTGGAGGAGCTGATGATAGGGTGAATCAGAGCTTTGAGTCTGCAGAAAATGTAAAAGATGTGAGCACTGGAGAAATGCAGGGAGAAGAAGTTTCTTCTAATGCTGAGGTTTCTGTCACTGATGGGTGTTCTGCAGAAACAGCCATTGCAAAACAGCCTATATTCGAGGGAGTTGATAGAGGCGTCGAAAAGAATAGGCCGAGCCAAGATGAGAAGATGGGCACAAAGGTGTGTCTAGTTGTCTTGTCTACTATGAGTAATTATTTTTGTATCTGTTTCATTGGCTGATGATGAACTTGTAGGGAACTGTTGCAATCGATGGCTCATTGGTGTCTCGTGAGGCGATGGCTCATTCATCAAAAACTACTAAACCATCATCTAAATGTGGATTGCCCAAGCCCCCACTATCTGTTAAACCACCATCCATTCAATCCAAGAAGACTGAACATTCTACTACTCCAACGAGTATTAAGCGCACTGCGAAAGGCTCAGCAATTAAGAATCAGTTTGCTCCAAGACCTCTTCATGTGCCAATCAACTTTGAGCGCGATGAACCCATCAAGATGATATCCTCTCCAATTCTTCAGAAGATTGTAAATTCTAAACTTGTTAGAGCTATTACTAATTCAATTCAAGAGAGCAGATCTCAAAAGTCCCCTATTATGGTATATTCTCACTCTCCTTTGGGACTAATCTCCACCCTCACTTGCTTTTCTGTTGATTCAAGTTCTTTCACAAAGTGCAGGAATCTGGCATTTCATTGTCAAAGAATGTAACACCCGAGCCAGATGTTCGTGTGTGTATGGGCTCCGAATCAGCAGAAAATGTAAACCGTGTGGTCACTGAAGAAAAGCGGGGAGAAGAGTTGCCTAATGTTGATGGGTGTTGTGACCAAAGAGGCCTAGAGACTGCTGTTCCAAAGCAAACAGAACAACCTAACAATCCGGTGGAACCACTGAAGCCGAAGGAAATTGATAGAGGCGTTGACAAGAACATGTCATACCGAGATGAGAAGATGGACACACGGGTATGTGTATTATGAGTAATTACTTCATCTTTGCTAGTAGGTTGAGAAAGTAGTTATGAACAGATACTGCATTTGTAACAGAGTCAATAGTACTCAAAAAAAACTTCATCTTTGCTAAATATGCAAATCTTCCCCTTTGGGCTGATGTTGAACTTTTAGGGTGCTGTTACAAAGGGAGACTCATTGGTGTCAGATGAAACAAAAACTCATTCATCAACGGCTACGAAACCATCAACTAAATGTGGCTTGTCCAAGCACAGACCTGATAAGCAACCATCCATTCAATCCAAGAAAACCGAGCATTCTACTCCAAGCCGTTTGCACACAGGCTGCACAATCAAATCACATTCTGCTCCACTATCGCTTCATTTGTCTGACAACGTTGAGCACGATGAGCCCATCAAACCATCTTCTCCAATGCTTCAGCGGATTGTAAATTCTAAATTTGTCAGAGCCATTACTAATACAACTCGAGAGAGCAGACCTCAAAAATCTCCTTTTAGGGTGCACTACTAATCCTCTCTCCCTTAGTTGCTTTTCTGCCAATTTGAGTTATTATTGTTCTTAGATATTTCTTATATGAATTGCAGGGATCAAGCTATTCATCATTGAAGCATGTAACATCAGAGCCAGAAAGCAGAAGGTAAGTGCTTTGATGAAGGCTGTAATGTGTAACCTTGCATAATTTGTATGTGTTGGAAAATATTTTTCTTGTGGGTAAATGATTCCATGATGTTGGTGACTGCTTTATTACATGCAACACCTTGCATTATCCAATGTGTTTTTACCATGATGATTCAATATTATGTTTTCAGGACAATAACACTACCAGATTCTTCACTTTCTAGGAGCAGAATCACCACACCAAGCACTGGGTAAGAACTACTCCATATATTATTTGCTGCAGATGAGTTAGTTAGGCCTTTTTTTTAGGGGCTAATGAAGGAAACCCGCAACCACTACCCCAGGATGTGTACTGGGGTAAACCCCGCCTTGTGACCTTAGCTGGCAAAGGATCACAAGGAGGTAAACCAACCTAGGTGGCCCATTGGGAGTCAAGACTTATAACATTGTGGTTACCAAATTAACAGTCTGACCAGGTTAGGCCGCAGGCACTACCCGAGGGTGTGCATTGGGTAAAGCCCGCCTTGTGACCCTAGCTGGTAAAGGATCACAAGAAGGTAAACCAACCTAGATTGCCTATTGAGAGTCGAACTTATAACATTGTGATTACCAAATCAACAGTCTGACCAGGTTAGGCCGCAGGCACTACCCGAGGGTGTGCATTGGGTAAACCCGCCTTGTGACCCTAGCTGGCAAAAGATCACAAGGATGTAAACTAATCTAGGTTGTCCATTGGGAGTCGAACTTGTAACACTGTGGTTACCAAATCAACAGCCTGACCAGATTAGAGGGCTTTTTTAATTGGGTAAGAACTACTCCATATATCAATTGCTGCACATGAGTTGGGCCTTTTTAACTGGCTAAAGACTGCATCCCACTACTCTAAGGTGATCATCTTGCTTGTCTAGAAGAAAGCTTCTCATCCTAGTCATATCTTCTTAGATGTGCAGTTGATCACTCTCAATCTTATTATTCCTTGAACTTCATTGCCCTGACTTGAAGAAACCAGAAACATAGTTTTGAAATAGAAATAAGTCCAATTCTGTAAGAATCTTAAAAAAAAACTCTAATGTTTCTTGCAGCAATTCAAAATCTCCAGCTGCACATGGAAGTAAAACACAACCTTCCACTACATGTTCTACATTTGTCTTCAGGAGCGAGGAAAGAGCAATAAAACGTAAAGAGGTATGCGAACAACCAGTAACAAATATGCATTTTCAATCCTCATTGGTAACATAAGTCTTCTGATGCTTTGCTATACTTTTTGCCCCTCTATCTACTTCAGTTCTATCAGAAGCTCGAACAAAAGCTGAAAGAGGAGCAGCAGTTGCAAACCAAAGCAATGGTCTGTGTTAATCATAGCTAATCTTGATGGTGAAATCTCCTCCATTGGCCCAAACTTTTATTTAATCACTCTCGTTTTGTTTCTGCAGAGTAAAAGAACAGGCGAGCCTACAGCATCGAGTGCATGTGCCCCAAGGGCTAGACCAAACGCGAGAGTGCAGGAGAATGGCTCTAGACCACCCTGGCGGCTTCCAGGAAAATCTGAAAGCCTCAGAGACGTCGTGGGAAAGACTAACAAGCCCGTCATCCATTCTACAAAATTGTTTCTGAAAGAAAGTAGACATGAAAATGCTTCCCCAAATATCCAACAATGAGTTTTCAAAAGAATTTGCAGAACTACAGATCATCTGAGCTTGATATTTCTCTAATATCTACACTTATCTTTAGTACATATATACGTGTAGCTTATAAATATTGAGGGTCTGGATGCTCATAGCAAGCAGACATATAGGAAAAACATGAACTGTTGTTTGCAGTTCCAATTTACCAATATTGTATGATTTTGTAATGCTTATATGGTCATTAATATTTCTGCAGAGGTTTACTAATATGTAGAATATAATTTGTTTTCCACCATAGTTTACTAGTATTCACATCCCGCAGAATAAGATTAATCTAACTGAGTTTCGACTATAACCAGTCTAGCCCCAAATCTTCAAGGTCATTCCCCATGCTTCTAACTTCTAAGATTTGGAGACAATTCCAGCTAAGTTGGTGAGGTTACTGACTTGGTATGACTTGGTAACCACAAGATTATCAACTTCCAATGGAAGCGGCCTATTAGTTTGAGCCAGTCAGCTATGAGCAACTTAGGCTGATTTACTTCCTTGTGGTCTTTTGTTGGTTAGGGTTTACCCTCGAGTAGTGGCTACAGGTGTCTCTCGTCACCAAAAAAAAAAACTTCTAAGATTTATAAACTAAACAGACAAACAAAATACAAAACAAAAGAGAGAAGGGTTTATTGGTGCAGAACTAATACAAGCAAGAAGGTTGTTATTTGATAACACTTTGGTACAAATATTTCAGGCAAGACATTATTCACAGTGTCAAAAAAGCATGCTTCCAACACAGTAGCAGGATTTATCTTTCATGGAAATCTATGACAGTCTAATAATGTTGAAGAGAATCATGGTCATAATATAAACAGACCATGATCTATCACAGGATCAATGGCATACTCATAGTCATACAAGTAAGGTTGTATTTCACCAGTGAGGTTTGTGTTGCTGTAGTCCAAAAGCTCTAAACTTTGAGGGCCAACAACACATGGGGAATGAAATTCACCTTGAAGAGCAGCAGCATTAAAATCCTTGTCCCATGATCCACCTCCAAGAAAAAGGTTTCCCTCTATGGATTCGGGAATCTTCATGCTCCATGTAGTACTGGGAATTTGCTCGAAAGCTTGAAAATTTGTCAAGCAACTCTGAGGCTGAGCAGGCAACAAGTCTACAGCACATTCTAACGGAGATACTGTTCTTACCCCGGGAGTTTTGGTAGGCTTACTCTTTATTTCCCCGGGGTTTATGTCTTTGTGAGGTGCGAGATTGAGGAGAGGTTGTGCTTGATCGAGTTGGACATGTTGAGGAAGCTTCGGTGAAGGTAGATGGTTAACGTTGTCCTCTGTTTGAATCTGCGGTGGCTTGAATTCATGTTTGAAACCAGTTTTGGAAACTTCACTAGCCCAGCAATATTGTATAGGGATCTCACCCGCGTGTTCTAGATCAACAGAATCAACCGGTACACAGCTCGCTTTTGAACAACTGATACTCTTCTGAGAATCACTCACGCCCGCTGTTGACAACGAAGCAGCAGCCTTAACCTCGCCCTCGTAATTTCTGGACTCAACCTCTTGCACGAAAAAATTTTCCCCAGGAAAAGAATACTTTCCATTTGTTGACTTGCTTGGTTTCACGTCAACTAAATTCTGAAGGCACGCACTTGAAGAGGATTCTTTTGGAGAGAGATCCGGGTGCTTTGTCCCACTGGACGAGGCTTTAAGCTCATTCTCTTTCTGCAACCTGGTCAAGTATAGGCGATACTTCTGCAAAACAAAACAAGACCACTCTCACAAATCGAGATGTGCAATCCCCATTCATAGATTTGTCTTCCCACAAAGAAAAACAATAGATTTATACATTCATTATCTCTTCAAAACAAATCATAAAAACTAAAACCAAGCCCATTGAAAATCTTTGTTCAAACTTTACGTATTTTCTTAACTTTATATGTTGTTTTCTAGTCTCTAAACTGTGGGGCTTCGGCCGAGCTCAGCCCCTGCTCGATTCGAGATGTGGTGTTGTGGCTTACCATGGAGGGATGTGGTTAAATGGTTAATGTCCACCTACTTGGCTACTTATCACCAATTGGTTTTAGGTAAGATATGACAACCAAATAGCCAAAGAACTATGTGGTTAAACGTGCTTGACTTACAGCAGACATGAGAAGTAAACATAGTGCAGCGCTGAGATCCATCATAAACATTGTCTAAGATTTTAGGAAGGCGTGTTTTGAAACTGTTTCCATATTATAAGTGTATGTGAGCAATTATAACTTCCTTTTGAAGAGGCTATTTTGGCAAAATCCACTCCCGCCTTCCTGAATATTATCAGTGAGAGAGTTTGAAGGATATTTACCTGCAAGTGGCTAGCAACATTTTCTCGAGTCAACCAAGGTACACCCATTAAGTCCAAAATTTTCTTCGGACCAACCTCTGCCAAAAGAAAAAGAAATTTATGTTCTCGGACCAACCACGACCAAGTATTATATCATAGTGATCCAAGTTAAGAGGAAGTGATGGTGCAACAAACTTACTATCGAATCCAATCTGATTTACGGCTTTGACAAATTTCTGATGGAGTTCTACCGTCCAAACTACCCTAGGCTTCTTCGCAGAGGAAGGGTCGCCACTTTTAGAATCACTTGTTTCTCTCTCGTCAAACTTGTAATCAAAATCTTTTCTTTTCTTTCCCGATTGAAGTTCAATTCCATTAAGCATCCAAGCTTCATCGAATTGGTCTGATTCGTGATTATCTATGTCTCGTGATTCTTGCATCCTCTTCCTAACTACATGCTGCCATATGTTTCTTAGCTCCTTCATCCTTATAGGCTTTAAAAGATAATCGCATGCACCGTGCTGTACACCCTTCATAACCCTGCTTGTTTCTCCATCAACAGACATCACTGAAACAATTAGAAGAGGACTATAAATATCGAATATTTAAATCAAATCTAGGGAGAGAGAAGCAGAATGCGTTAAGGATAGTAAACTGACTTATAACTGGAAGGTCCATCTCGAGTCCAACGAGTTCCAGAAGCTTGAAACCGTCCATATCAGGCATGTTAACATCGCTTATTACAATGTCAAATCCATTTCTTCTTTCTCGGAGCAGGCCAATAGCCTCCGTTGCAAGGCCACATGTAGTTACTGAAACAACCGAGATTTTTCATTTCAGAAGCACAACCAAATTGGAAAACATGGAGTTCGAGCTTTGAATGCCAAGTAGAAATGGAATAAAATGCACAGCTCAAATTACAGAACGGGTTATCCTCATCAGCCAAGGCTGAAAGAAAGCAAACACATTTTGAATGCTTTTGCATATTAGTCATCTACATTAACAAAGCAAACAATACTCCGAAAATGGTTGCTTTATTTTTATATTTATAAAATTGTCCAGGCACCCCCCCAGGTGGAGGACCGGTGTTTTTTGCCTTCCTGGTTTGAGCCGGTCAACTATGGGCAACCTAGACTGGTTTACCTCTTTATGGTCCTTTGCCGGCTAAGGTCACAAGGCGAGGTTTACCCAATGCACACCCTCGGGTAATGGCTGCAGGTTTCCCTCATCAGTCAAAAAAAGGAAAGAATAATCTCAAGAAAGATTCGGTCCACCTATAGACTCCTGCAGCTGCAATATTACACAGGAGCAATTCGGTTTGTAAATTCTAAATGCAAATCTGAACTTAAAAATAAAAAATCCCTTAAAATTTTCAACTATGGGGTTGTAAAACATGGAAATCACTGCAAGAATTGAAGACATAACATTTCTGCTGTTATCAATTGCTGACAAGAATGACTTTGAAAGCTTTATGTCCAATTCCTCATAGACAATTCTTTTTTTTTTTTTTTTTTTTTTCAAGAAACCAAATTTTATAGCATAAAAAACCCTCTAAATTCATATTATTTGCTCTTAAGCACTGTACATATGCAACACCATCAGTACAACCTCAAAAGCCTAAGATTCTTAAGTTCCTGTGTTTAAGAACACTAAACATGGCCATTTTTGTCTCCTTAGATATGAGTCAAACATGATCAGATAGGAGTATAAAGTCCAAGAATTCCAAAAAAAAAAAGGGTACAGAAGCCCAAGCTAAGATTATTACACAGAACCAAACTACAGATATGCTTAGATTAACTGATCAAGGAAGGAGATGGAGTTGACAACCTAGGATTTCAGCCATAAAACACAAAATTATGAAGTTTACATGCTAAAAATGAAATCTTTTTTGTCAGAAACACCAAGTTAAAAACAAAGCAAAAAAGGGTATTTTTCCAAGTGATGAAAACCTTCATATGAGCACTTCTTGAGCATCTTCTCAAGAATCTTCAACCAGGTTGGATCATCGTCGACGACGAGAACCCGGAGACCGGCCGGAAAAGTTTCGCTGCTCCTGGGGAGAAAGATCCCGCCGGCCATGACACTCTCCATCAAGAAAAAAAAAATCAGAGCTGCCCTCTCTCCACAGAGAACTCAGATTCAGCTGAAAGAAGACGACAAGACTTGAACCTGGAAATTGGATAAATATCAAGAACACATATATAAAGATACCCCCAACAGTCCAACACGCACAGAAACAAAAAAATTATGTGCTTAATCAGCAGAGAGAGAGAGAGAGAGAACCCAAAAATACTAAATAAATAAATTTTGAGAGACCTGTGGCTATAAAGGGTCAAGAGGAGAAGATGGCAAGGAATTTGGTCGCCCTCTATGGCTCTTTTGCTTGTATTTAACAGACAAACACAACCCAGAATTCAATCTAAGGATTATTGGAAGTGGGCAGTGGGAAGTGTCTTTTGTTTGTTCTAATCAGATGTTTGGGCAACAGAAGAATACACTGAGAGGTGAATGTCTCTGTCTAGCCATTTTAGTGATTCTTGGAGCTGATGGGGTAACTTCAACTTTTTGGTATGTTTTATCTACACTACTTGTATTGGTATAATGCCCACTTTTTGGGATAATGTTATTCCTGTTTCTACTTTTCCTCCAATAAATATATCCACCATTCAGTTATAAGTTCAATTATCATTAGAAGGTACTTCGTATTATTATTTTTATTTAACTTTTCTAATAATTTATTATAGCGAATTTACTTATGATTGTGTTGAACTTTTAGTTCCAAGATGATATAATTAAGCGCTTAAATAATTAGGATAAGTAATAAGATAGGAATTATAAGAATATCGTTCTCTTTTCCCATCTTTCAATAGAAATAGAATAAAATTTTTCATTAGGGTTGAGAATTCAGTCTTGGGGTAAGAATAAGATTTTTCAAGTGTTGACTCAGTTAAGAATTTTGACAAAGTGCCTAATTGGGTGCTAGAACTTTCTATTTGTATATTTGTGTACATTTTTAGGCTAGTTACAATTAATAATAGAGGATAACATGGTCAAGTACATCTTATATGTCTATACTATATTTTCTAAAAAAATTGAACGCTTAGATTCTTGCGATGCTACCAAGACTCCCATATGGGAGGTCGTGGATTCGACCCTCAATGGAGGCGGCATTGACTCTTTGTGCTTTATTAAGTTGATAAAGTAGTTTATGAACAGAAAAATCATTTGATTTTTTGTTTTCACACAGTGACATCTAGTATTTCTATCATAATGGAACTAATGAAAAATACATCAGAATTCCTAGGGGTCACCCATTATGTGATGGGTATAAGCCAAGCACGCTTAATCACAGAGTTCTTTGGCTATCTGATTGTCATATTTTACTTAAAAACAATTGATGATAAATAGGTGGACACTAACTATTTAACTATACATTTCTCCATGCCACAACGCCACGTCTCAAATTAAGCAGGGTCTGAACTCGACGACGCCCAACAATGCAATGTGTAAAACATATTTCTAAAGACTCAATTGACTTCAATGTCACAAACTCAATATTTAATCACTACTTGAACAACTCAACTCAATATTTAATCTATCAACACTTGAACAACTCAAGCGTAACATAACCCTACACAACATTCTAATCAAATACTTAGTTGACAATACAAAAGCTAAAGCCACCACGCTTACCACTAAAAGATTTATTAGCACATGCAAAGGTGATTTGGAAAAAAGACCAAAACAAAAGATTCATAAAATCTTAGCCAGGGGGTTATAGTGTAGTACATCCCCAAGTCAACGTTAGAATGAAGAGTATACCTGAAATTTAAAAATTCAGAGAAATTATTTATTTAATGTAATAGAGCTAGTAGCATTCAAAAAAAAAAAATTATTTAATGTATTTTGTGTGTGTTCGATCATCACAAGTGGTACGAATTATTCCATCCAACATAAATCCAATTATTTAACATATGGAACTCCGCAACAATATTATGTAGATAATTATCCTAAAAAAAAAAAAATAATGATCGTGTCTAATAATGTAATGTGTACTTTTTAAGGGGTAATTTTAGTCAAGTTGATTAGGACAAATTATATTGTGCACCAGGACGCACAATGTATTGTGCACCTTGGTTCCAAAAGACGTCGTTTTATATTTGTTTTTCTTTTCTTTTCTTTTTTTTTTTTTTGGAAATTCTGTTTTAATTCCCGTGTCTGCTGTTAACTTCTAAAATAAAACATGTTTCGAATGTTTATAATTGTATAATAGAATGTACATAATTATATAATAGAATACGCGTAAACCCCTAACATAATACACATAATTTTGTTTGAAAAGATAATACACATAATCTAACATAATACATAATACATAATACATAATACACATAAACTCTTAACATAATACACATAAACTCTTTAACTCTTAAAACAAAAATCTCATGTTTCGAATGTACATAATTGTATAATAGAATGTACATAATTGTATAATTGAATACACATAAATTTCGTTGCGTCAACTACCCACACAACTTAACAAAACGACGTCATTTTGGGCAGGGCGGGGCGCACAATGCATTGTGCGCCCTGGTGCACGATATAACAATTGGTTGATTAAGTTATTGGCTTAGTAACCACGTACAAGATTTCAAGTTTGACTCATAATAAGAGCGGTCTATTAGTATTATTGGTTTGAGTTGGTCGGGCGACCTAGGCTGATTTACTGCATTATCAGGTATATCATATCTAAAAGTCATGTGTTCAATTATTACTAACACATTTTTGATTGAGCTTGTTTATTTGATCCCTGCAGCATATATACTAGGTGTTAGAATCAACCGCTTACCGCTCACGCAAAAAATTATAGCTAGTAGCGGCGCGAAGACGTAACTTATTTCCTTACTTATAATTAGTCATTACATTGTTTGAGACAAGCTGGGTGCTGGACTTGACCCTTAAAGACTTTATCAGTTCCCACCCAATAATCCCTCCAATCACCGAGTACTAGACATGGCCCCTTTACCGGTCTGGACCAACACAAGGATTGAGCTTTTCAAAATCCTAATTAAATACTAAAACTTTTTATAATTCATTAGTTACGCTTGAACTGATTTACTCGACTCCAAATTAATAATGTCAAGTTCCATCATTCAAAACAAAATTTAATACCACAAATTTACAAAATATAACAATTGGATAAGTTCATACCATCTGATAGGGAATATCCCGACCGACATAATTTTACCCCGGCTGGTGTGCCTTTGTCTTTTTCTTCTTGTCTTTGCAGGTAACAGGTCGGGCTTCTTGTGAAGAACCCGGTCGGGGTCCGACCGGGAGTTGCCCGAGCGGCAGTGTCAACCACCGAGCGGTAGCCCTTTGGCGAGAGAGCTGACAAAGGACACGTGGCGGTTCCTTGCGACGACAGACAGGGCACCCGGGAGGATGACACGTGGTGGCTACGTGGAGAGCATGCCGAACGACCGGATTTGTGTCTCCGGCGCAGCGGCTATAAATACCCACAGTAGCTACAGTGTGAGGGACTTTTTGGACGATCGATAGGTTGTTGTTAGAGAATCCCGACCGCAGTCAGTCGGTACTCAGAGCAACCAAGTAGATTGTACTTAGGGCCTTCACCGTGATCAATAGAAATATTTACTTGCTTTATTTGGTCTCGGGTTTGTTTAATTATTGCTTACGTAGTAATTAGCAGTATCATTTTGACGCCGTCTGTGGGAAACGAACCCACGACCACACGGTTGGTTGCCTTGCTGAAATGCTCTGCTCGGGATTCTCTGAGGATACCGATCGAAGCAATAGATTGGAGAAAGTTCAAATGAGGGCCTCAAGGGCCTATTTATAGGAGAGCATTTAGGCGGGAAACGAGTCCACTTGCGTAACACGACCCGCGCTGATTCCGAAGCGACTGTTGCAGTCGCAGAGGCCGGCAGTGGCCGACACGTGGCGAGGGAAGGAATGACAGCTGGCTGGTCGGTTTGATGGCTGACGGTTGGGCTTCTTCATCTCGTCCCATTTTTTCCCGGACGGTCAAAAAGGCCCGGGCTGGGGGGCTCTTGATAGGGAATATCCCGACCGACATAATTTTACCCCGGCTGGTGTGCCTTTGTCCTTTTCTTCTTGTCTTTGCAGGTAACAGGTCGGGCTTCTTGTGAAGAACCCGGTCGGGGTCCGACCGGGAGTTGCCCGAGCGGCAGTGTCAACCACCGAGCGGTAGCCCTTTGGCGAGAGAGCTGACAAAGGACACGTGGCGGTTCCTTGCGACGACAGACAGGGCACCCGGGAGGATGACACGTGGTGGCTACGTGGAGAGCATGCCGAACGACCGGATTTGTGTCTCCGGCGCAGCGGCTATAAATACCCACAGTAGCTACAGTGTGAGGGACTTTTTGGACGATCGATAGGTTGTTGTTAGAGAATCCCGACCGCAGTCAGTCGGTACTCAGAGCAACCAAGTAGATTGTACTTAGGGCCTTCACCGTGATCAATAGAAATATTTACTTGCTTTATTTGGTCTCGGGTTTGTTTAATTATTGCTTACGTAGTAATTAGCAGTATCATTTTGACGCCGTCTGTGGGAAACGAACCCACGACCACACGGTTGGTTGCCTTGCTGAAATGCTCTGCTCGGGATTCTCTGAGGATACCGATCGAAGCAATAGATTGGAGAAAGTTCAAATGAGGGCCTCAAGGGCCTATTTATAGGAGAGCATTTAGGCGGGAAACGAGTCCACTTGCGTAACACGACCCGCGCTGATTCCGAAGCGACTGTTGCAGTCGCAGAGGCCGGCAGTGGCCGACACGTGGCGAGGGAAGGAATGACAGCTGGCTGGTCGGTTTGATGGCTGACGGTTGGGCTTCTTCATCTCGTCCCATTTTTTCCCGGACGGTCAAAAAGGCCCGGGCTGGGGGGCTCTTGATAGGGAATATCCCGACCGACATAATTTTACCCCGGCTGGTGTGCCTTTGTCCTTTTCTTCTTGTCTTTGCAGGTAACAGGTCGGGCTTCTTGTGAAGAACCCGGTCGGGGTCCGACCGGGAGTTGCCCGAGCGGCAGTGTCAACCACCGAGCGGTAGCCCTTTGGCGAGAGAGCTGACAAAGGACACGTGGCGGTTCCTTGCGACGACAGACAGGGCACCCGGGAGGATGACACGTGGTGGCTACGTGGAGAGCATGCCGAACGATCAGATTTGTGTCTCCGGCGCAGCGGCTATAAATACCCACAGTAGCTACAGTGTGAGGGACTTTTTGGACGATCGATAGGTTGTTGTTA